AATACTCCGATCACATCAAAGTTGTGAAACAGATGAGTGATTTTTATCCTATTCAGGTAGGTAGAATCATGACATTCCTTGATATTCATTATAGTGTAAAGCAATTTACTTAATTATTCAGAAATCTCAATTCACATTGAGAGAGTTTGTATGAATATGATCCAGTTACCAAATTAGAGACTTGTATTTATTGCTTTAAATTAAATAGTTTATTAAATGACATACATAAAGTAATAAGTGAAGACTATCAAAAACGATTGGTATTTCAGACAACCACTAAACTTTAAAAACTTATCTACATAACTAAATTTTATTTCATGAAAAACCACGCAAACTAATTTCACCAAATCCATCAAGAAATCTGGTTCACTCTTATGCCATATGCAGTTTATGTTTTAATGGATATCAATTAGTTCATATATATGGTACCATTTGAAAATTTAAAAGAAAGAATGACAGTATTTGCAGAATACTATGAATTCATTGTATTTTGTCGTTTTCTCTTCAGCCAATATGTTTAACTATGCCAACTCCACCGGTAGCCCTATTAGGTTTGCTGCAGGTCCCAAGCCGGGGTAAAGGAGGATGGTTGGGTTGAGTGAGAATCTTATGGATCCAGGATCATAAAAGCACTATTCAAAACAACGAATATTATCCAATGCTATACACCCATCAATGATGGCAATGACGACGATAAAAATCAGTTTTACTAGATGTAATAGCAAAGTGCCCAGGAAAAGGCCTGAAAATCCTGGTGGGAGACCTAAACGCCAAAGCCGGAGTGGACAGCACCGGGTATTAAGACCTCATGGGGCGACATGCACTGGGAAAAAGGAACGAGAAGGGTGACTGACTTGTAAATCTATATACCTTCAAAAAATGGTTATATGAGGCAATATTTCTGTTGTGACTTCATGAGCCGCATGTTACCACGTAATCTGTTCGCCAATTAAAATACGACTTATTCACCCTTATACTGTACTAAACCAATGACGTTCGACCAGTCTGATCAGCCTAGCATCCTATTGGTCCGTTGCTTGCCTAGCACATCCAGCTGAGTCCAGAATGCCAAAAACAACCTCCGTTATGCAAATCGAATCGCATCATATGTTTCAATCATACTTTGTTTGTATATCAAACAAACAGACCGCAACGCACCATAAAATAGAAAATAACGTTTGTACACAATAAAGCCAAAAAGTGGCTGTGAACGTGGGAGACTAATTAACTAATTGTGAACAGCAAAATCGTAAAATAATAATCTATAGGTCAAAATGAAGCTTATGATAAGGGAAATATAGATATATACAATCTATTTACTGAATTGTTATACCATAAGAATATATAGATAATATTAGTCCGTTAATAGATCTCAGACGTTACTCGTAATTCAATTTTCACTAGGATATAACAATTTACCCTCGAAAACGCATGCTCAAAGCTACATGTGACTCACCAGATCATACTACAGAGAATCGGATCAACCGTAGTTGCATCACTGAAAAATTCAGAAGGTCGATGGAAGATATGAGAACCAGAAGAGGAGTTGGAATAACTCCAGATCACCACCTGGTGACTGCTAAATTGAAACTGAAGCTAAAGAAGCAATGGACAAATGAAGAAACAGCACCACGAATGTTCAACACAGACTTCTTTCAGGACGAATCAATAGAGGAAGGTAACAGGACCAGACAACATACCTTCTGAAGCACTGAAGTCACACACAGAAATAACTGAAAATATCCTCTACATCCTATTCATGAAGATTTGGGAGGAAAACCAAGTGTCGATGGGCTGAATAGAAGGATACCTCACCAAGATTCCAAAGAAGTGAGATATAAGCAAGTGTGAGAACTACAAAGTCATCACACTACTATATATACGAGGAAATGTTTTTAACACAGTGTTGTTGAACTGCAAAAAGATATTCAGTAAATGAGCAACGGGCTAGACTTCGTAAGGGTCGGTGGTGCACAGATCAAATCACAACACTACGGATCCTAGTTGAGCAATCAACTGAATTGAACTCGTCACTATATGCCAACTTCCTTGATCATGAAAAAGCATTTGACAGTGTGGACAGGAGAACATTGTGAAAAATTCTTCCACACTATGGAGTACCTGAGAAGTTCGTCAATATCATTCGTAATTCATACGACGGACTACAGTGCAAAGTCGTTCATGGATGATAGCTGATAGACGCGTTCCAGGAGATGACCAGAATCAGATAAGGCTGTCTAATCGCCCCCTTTCTCTTTCTTCTCGTGGTTTACTGTATTATGAAGATCTTCACATCTGAAGGTAAACACGGAATACGATCGACAGTACGGATGCGGCTAGACGATTCGGACTTCATAAATGGTCTGGCCCTTCTATCCCATACACACGAACAAATACATGTGAAGATAAACAATGTAGCAGCAGTCTCTGCATCAGTAGGCCTCGAAACACAAGCGAAAAATCAAGATTCTCAAATGCAACACGGAGAACAGCAATCCATTCACTCTTGGTGGCGAAACTCTGGAAGATGTAGAATCCTTCACATATCTGGTCAACATCATATTCGATGAACAATGGCGATCCAATGCAGGTGTAATGGTGAGGATTGGCATAGCAAGAACAGCATTCCTTCAGTTGAAAAACAAATGGAACTCAAAAAAAACTGTCAACCAATATCAGAGTGAGAATCTTCAATACGAACGTCAAGACACTTCTATTGTACGGAGATGAAACCATCATCAAAAGGATACAAGTATATATAGACAATTGTGCATTTAAGATACTGTATGTCTGTTGGCCGGATATCATCAGTAACAGCTTACTATGAGAGAGAATAAACGGACTTCCAGCTGAATAGGAAATTAGGAAAACTCGTTGGAAGTGGATAGAACACACATTGCGGAGATCATCAAACTGCATCACGAGACAAGAGCTAACTTGGAATCCTAAAAAGAAAGACAAAAGTGGAAGGGGGTTGAACATACTATACTGAGAACTGGAAGCAGACATCAGAAGGATGAATAGCCACTGAGAAGGATGGCTCAGGATAGAGGTGAAGGGAGAATGCTGGTGGTCAGCCTATGCTCCTCTATCAGAGGCATCAGGCCTAAGCAGTTAAGTAAAGTTGAAGAAATGGGACATTTTTATATGAAGTGGTAATATGAGAATTTGCGAGTTATAATTAACAATCACAAAACTTCGGATAACTGTTGAAATCCTGTTATTTAAATTAGGCTTTCATAAGTTATTTTTTAATTTGGTTGAAGAAATTTCTTAGGTGTTATACACGACGAATGTAAATACGCCACAGGTTTTCGAAGTTCGACAACACCTCAACCAGTAACACCTTAGCAATCGAAGTAAACCAATCTAGTCAAATCAGTAGTCAGGAATGAAGAAATTGGAATACATATATGAAAGGTTATCCGTACGTCGAAGGAACGCTTGGTTTAATATGTTTAATGGTTGAAACGGAGACGTAGCACAGTGTATTTAATGGCGATCTGGCGCGGATGCTTGATGAGGTGTATTTAGCTATGTGAGTCCAGCATGGAATGTCGAAGACTTACAGAGCTATTCATTTGAGGGATTTATTTACTACTACAAACGTAAGGCAGCATTTGAAATGTGAAGTTCAGGCAAAAAAATCATTGTTTTAAGTTTGCAGAGAACATGCTAGAACATTTTTAACGGCCAAGAGATATAATTGTGAGAGGTCCCTTTTATATGCCTTATCAATATAGAATTAAACATCCCAACTGATTTTCGCTATCGATAAGGGGTGATTTCATAATAACTTGTCGCATACCTTCAGTTCTAAGTCTTCAGTATTAAGGATTGTAGGTCAGTGAAACTGTGTTAATCCTGACAGATTTGCTTCCAGTGAAGGTACAGTTTCTCCTCGAAAATATTCACTGATGGGGCTGATACCACTTGTTCGGATAAGGAGTTCCAGTCATTGACTACTCGATGAGAAAAACGGGACCCAACTTTAAGTTTATTAGATCGCGGTTTGTGAACTTTCTTCCCATGACCTCGGGGATTATTAGTGCTGGAGACATATAAATACCCAAATCATAATCAAAGATACGAAATGCCAGTATAAGGTCACCTCTCATCCTACGATAAAACAAGGGGGAAGGGTTTTAGCGTTTTAAATGCTCATCATAAGGAAGTTTAGTAAGACCCTTCACTCATTTTGTTCTCACACGCTGAACATGTTCAAGTGAGTTAGTATCCTTTATCATACATGGACTAGCTGTTTGGATACAGCACTAAGTGTGGTATTACACAGGTGAGATATGAAATTTGAAATATTATCTCGTCAAAGCGTTTGAATGCTCGGCGAAGTGACCATAACGCACTAAAATCTTTAACAAAAGCTACGTTGCAGTGCGTTGTTGTTTTTAGGTCATGATTTATTATTACCTCTAAGTTTTTATGTTCTTTAACGCGTGGAAGAGATGTACCATTAATAGTATAGTGGTAACTATTACCGTCCGATATGCATGAGCACACTGTTCCTAGCATTAACTTCTAAGACCCAACCTCGAGCCCATCCAACTAATTCAGCTAAGTTAGCTCGGAGATCAAAATGCTCAACCTCACTTCTTATTGTTCTCCAGATTTTTACACCGTCCGGTAACAATAATGTCGACGACTTAAGCAACAGCGGTAATTCATTAACGTAGAGAAGGAAAAGTAGCGGGCCTAAGATGCTGCATTGGCTCACACTGCTTTTGCTCGGTTTCCATCAGGATAGCATTCCACTAACCCTCATTCTGTGTTTGCGGTCACATAGGAACTTTCCTATCCATCCCTATAATGCACCTATTATGCCAAAGCTCGGGAGCTTCTGCACCTCTTGACAAACTAAAAAAAAGATTAAATATTGTAAATAGTAATATAGATCACCCGACATAAACATTTTTACTTATGAGAACTGAATACTAATTGTACATTAAGAAATCGGACTGGGACTTGGTTTTGTCGTACCATTTAATGTGAAGGTTGTGTTCCCCGCAGATTCTGAATCTTGGTGATGGATGTTGCTCAAACTCAAGTACGGACTATACGAGTGGTCGATGTAGTTGCAGATGAGTGTCAGAGGCTTTTCCACCATTTTTTGGAAACGTAACTATAATCCACACCTGACTTTTCTGTTAAGATTTAAGGAAAATGATGTTCTGAAATATGTAGAAGCTGCTAACGGTCTCAAACAACTTGAGAAAAATACACTGTCAGTGACCTTTACAGACATAATAGTATCTGATACGAGGTTATCTGGGCTAATTCAGGACGAGTTTTATAGGTGAGCTTTATCATATCCTTATTTCAATAGGCTGTATCCTGCACTTTGCTCAGCCACAAATAATTTCGTGAATGATCACGTACCAGATACGCAGAATTCAGGAAGGGACTTCTACGTCAGTTTTACAGACGTACCTAGCCTACACAGGTATTGATGGTTTTAAAATATTTTCTTTCTCAGGATGCGAGACCTCACAGCAAGTCAGTTAGGAAGGTTGATCAAAGTACGTGCTCAGGTCGTACGAGCACACCCTATTCACCCCGAACTTTTAATGGGTACTTTCCGATGTTCCGAATGTAAAATAGTGATAAGAAATGTGGAGCAGCCTTTCAAGTATACCCAGGTACCATCACGTATTACTAACCTCGTTAGCCAACTGTATGTTTTAATCCTCAATGCGGGAACCGTCTTAAGTTCGAGTTGCTTACGAATGAGTCGAAGTTCGTTGATTTCCAGAAAGTTCGAGTTCAAGAAACTCAGTCTGAATTACCTCGAGGAAGCATTCCACGCAAGTAAGCTCATTCTACTTTCTTTGTGTGCTTATTCACAAGTCCCAATAAATACAAACACTGTGGGTAATAAGAAATATGATCCGATCTTTTTATTCAGGTAGTAAAGTCACAGTAAATGGGTGGTAGATGCTCTAGGTCAAATAAGGTAATTTTTGACAAGAAAGACTGCAAATGAGTTGGTGTTTTGTTGGTCTGGAACATCTTACCAAACAAGTAGTTTGGAGAGAGATGTTGCAAAATATCCCTGCGAAACAACAGCAGGAAACCGTATGGATTGATCGCTACTAACCATTGATTAGGGAGTGGTTATTTGGTCACCTGGATTGTAAGTAATAAGTTTCACAATCCATCAAAATTTATTTTGACCAACTCAACCAACATATCTCACGAGATATATGCGTATAAGATAATGTCTGGATATGATTTTGTGGTTTTGAATTTGACAATGAACAACCTGAAGCTTTTTACTTTCACTTGTTCATAATAGATAACTAAAAGCTTTTGGTATACCGGCATTGCGTATAAAAGTCATGAATTTGAACTTCATTATATTTTTGTATATGTGTTTGAGCAGTGAAGTCAATTTTTTCCCCATTTACACAACCCTATATTAATTGGTGTAGTTTAACTCCTGATACGTCACCATTTTATTTGCTTTGGCTACCAGTACATTTTACATGTTTTGTTAAACCTTTCAGCCTTGAAGTCATACTACGTGCAGATACAGTAGACCTTGCGCAACCTGGTGATCGATGTGAATTTATTGGGACTCTTATCGTTATCCCTGATGTTGGACAACTAGCGACACCCGGTAAATTAAACATTTTAAGTTGTAATATTTACTCACCAAATGTTGGTGGCCATTTAAAATTCATCTGTGTCATTTGTCGCAACTGTTTCGTTATGTTTGCACTGATTAGTTGGGTATTGTATGAGCATTGATAATAGTTAGAAAATTGAACAGTTTTGTTACTTAAGGATAAAATCCTCTATTTCGGTTCTATTTAGGTGACAGATCGTTAGAGGGTAAGCCGTTACGAGGACGAGACAATCAAGAAATCGGCGGTGTGACTGGTCTAAAAGCGTTAGGAGTGCGTGAGCTTTCTTACCGGACAGCGTTTTTGGCTTGTACTGTCATACCTTCAAATGGAAGAGTAAGTCTAATTTACAACTTGATTGCATGAGCTTTATAACGAGTTTCTATAATTTTCCATAGTACGTTCCAATATAAAGTTCTTAGTTACAGTAAACGTACAACGTTTTAGTAACTTATGCACTCGGTTAATTACAGTAAGGTAGTCAGTTCGAATTTCACGTTCGGTAACAATATTTTTTCCACTAATTTCATGAGTGGTAATTCTTTAGCCATAGCTTCAGACATCGGCTAGTGTTGTAGTTATCTGCAGTAGTTTCCCAAATTTTAATCAGAGTGGTGGTTTAGTGGTTAAGTCATTTGGCTTTCAGTCAATATGTCGCAGGTCCAGACTACACTTTGCATGTTTCGGTTTAGACAGCCGGGTAATATTACTAGTTTCCACTCAATAAATGTGGCTTAAGTGAGAGTACTTAGGCCTATACTTGGCAAATAATTTGTGCTAACTGTAACCGAAATAAATAATCCAGCGAAGTTTACTAGGCCTTAGTACCTTTTATTAGTCTACTCCATAATGCGAAATTGCCATTTAAATTTGATGGTACATTTTCACACATTGATTTTTGAAGCCGTACGATATTATGTTATTTAGGATCACTAACACGCAATCTTCGTGCGTGTTGCGCTTGTTTTAGTGGACATATGCTTTGGAGTCTGAAATTTTTAATTACCAACTAGATTTCTACAGTAGTCCTAATGTCACTGAATCATTTTCACTTAGAACTAAATCTTCTAAAAGATTGTTTTGATTTTAATCAGGGCTTAATGAAGTTGACCGAAATTTGATCTTTACAAAGATAAGACGAATTATTTATGTATTAATAAACACTAAATACTTCAACGTATTCATTCATTTCCATTCGTCCTACTGTTTCCATTTTCTATTATTGTTTTGTAATCCCCTGGGTGTTATGCATTCTACTACTGTTTTCCATATCTCACAAGCAAATTATGTTTTTCTGATTTTAACTTTGCCTCATTCAAACGGTTTTAAAGCATTCTGTTTTTTACGTACTGTATATAAATATTGGAATTTTAATCTTAGTACTTGCCATCAGATGAATTAGAAGAGTCAGATGCTATCTCTTACGAAGCATTGTCAAAAAGACTGACGCCATCTGAGCTCGATACAATTTGCCAAATGAGTCAGGATCGAAAACTTCTTACAAACATGTGCAAATCTCTTTTCCCGACTATTCACGGTGCTGATGAAGTTAAGAAAGGTATCCTGTTGATGCTTTGTGGTGGTGTACCCAAGGTTAGTACAATCAGTAGTCTTATACATCATGAACTTAATTTGTGTTGTTTTATTGACTTCTGGCTATTTATTTTCATGTTGATATGCACAGCTGAAGATATGTTGCATAGAATCGCAATTTATCTTTCGTGCTATGATTGATGTTAAAAAACACAGTCGGCATCTTATTGTGAAATTATGTGCTAGTTTTTACTTTATTTTAGTGCAACGTTGTCTCCTAATTTATTTCAGTTAAGTGTACTGTGTAATTTTTTATAGATTACTGAAGAGAAAACTCATCTCCGTGGAGATCTAAACGTATGTCTAGTTGGTGACCCAAGTACAGCGAAGTCTCAGTTCTTGAAACATGTTGAGAGATTTTCTCCACGTGCCGTTTATACTAGTGGTAAAGCCAGTTCAGCAGCTGGTTTGACAGCTGCAGTAGTCAGGGATGAAGAGTCCTTCGAATTTGTCATTGAAGCTGGAGCACTAATGCTTGCAGACAATGTGAGTCACTAACTTCAAACATTTTACTTGAAGTAGTCATTTTCACAACTTTTTCAATGATTTATGTTTTGCAAAACGTGTTCATGGTACATAGAAAACATATAGGTAATAAAAATATCTCACCTTTCTAAAATAGATTTATTATGCAGTTGGAATCTTTAAGCAATCTTATTAATCATTATCAAAAATCCAAACTCATTCTTAAACAATAAGAGCTCACGACTAGCAATTTGCCTTCTCTGAACATCTCTGAGTATATCGAATGTCGGATTGTTTCTTTAGAAACCAATTTCTATGTTCTAAATTACAATAAACGTCCCGGTGGAAAGCTCTTAATGGATTTCCTTGATATTTTTTCTACTAATCTCTTGATAATTTATTACCAACTGCATCTATAAAACAACACTTTTCCAAATGTTGTATGTATTGAAATCTCAGCACTGAGTCTTACACACAAATGTCAGTCATCACCCAAGATTGATCACCAAAATCTACCATTATTACCATAGGAATTACTCTGATTCCAAACAGTTTCATTCATGGTCACATATGCTGTAGTGAAGCAGAACACTGGTGAGAACAACCGAATTGTATTTAGCTCAAATTACAGAGTTAATTGATAAAATAGAATCGTTAATTTGCAAAATATCAATCCTTCATATCAAACTGAACTGTTCCTGTTGCAAATATCAATCCATTGACTGACATTTCATTCTTCATGAGTTTTCATACAAATTCCATTGTTCCCGCTCTTCCTCTCTTGATTTTCCCCCATCTTCTGCTACCGGACATTACGTTTAAAACCCGCGTTATATACTACTTATTATATCAATATAAGTAGCGCGCACCACAATGCTAATGAATATTTTAGTGATATCGCAGAACCTTTATTATGGGTTCACTAGACCACTACACTAAGTAGATCCAAACATGAATTTCTTCTTTAGCATTGTTGTCTGAATAATGTCTTTAGTTTTTGTGCATAATTTTCTCACTAGTTATAAATTTCTTGCTTAAAGGGAGTTTGCTGCATAGACGAATTCGATAAAATGGATCTTAAAGATCAAGTTGCAATTCACGAAGCGATGGAACAACAAACAATTAGCATAACGAAGGCTGGTGTAAAAGCTACACTGAATGCTCGCACTTCTATTCTCGCGGCAGCTAACCCCATTGGTGGTCGCTACGACAGATCGAAATCTCTACGACATAATATTGGCTTGTCTGCTCCCATCATATCACGTTTTGACCTGTTTTTTGTGCTGATTGATGAATGCAACGACGTAAGTTTTCTAATTTTTGTTCTGCGTACCCGATTCACCTACGGGAGGCAAATTAATCGCAAATAATAGTTGCTTCTAAACCTAGAAATTATTTTACGAATTGTAAGAGCTGTAAATATATATATATATATATATATATATATATATATATAAATCACAAGTCAGATTATCTTGAGACCACGTATTTGTCAGATGCTCTAGGATCTTGGATGAGTTCTGTCTTGTTTTTTATTTATCAAAGTGATCTCACCTACAAGTTAACAATTCATAACACGACCTGAGAAAAGCGATTGTGTTTCCGTCTGCTTACTGATTTTCTTACGTCCTCGTGATTGACATAAAGCAAGTGGTATCGTGTCACATTTTGTAAATGGTAATGAGCTATTTAGCAGCAGCTTATTCATGAAAACCTGTTCCAGTCGTTCTTATAGTAATTTTGACCTACATTTCGGAGGAAATTCTAAAGACTTTAATTAATGTAATACCGATCTTCTCATGCACTAATCTGTTAAATACCCTAACTTCTCACAAGACATATCTGACAAATCACCAAATGAAGTATGCTAATTTTGTGCAATCTATTTGTTTGACTGTTACGTTCCTGCTCATTACTTTTTTTTCCAGATTGTGGATTATGCTATCGCTCGTTCAATTGTAGATTTGCACATGGGGAGACATGGCGCAGAAGATACTCACACCATCTATTCAGTTGATAACATTCGTCGCTACATCGCTTTTGCTCGTTGTTTTAAACCAAAAGTATGGAATAATTTGTTTCACATTACTTCCGTATTTACTAAACTTTGCCATCAAGATAATTGTTTTCAAAGGTGTTTATAGTTTGTTTCCTAGCTTTCTTCAAAGACCGACAGAAAGATCATAGGAATCTAACCCTAACAGTCAGTCTTACCTAATATAAAGCTTGACATAAATACACATCATCCTAAAGTTTTATAAGTAAACAAGTTGTCATTCGATATCAGCATCTCGAGATGAAGCTAACAAAAATACCAAAAGATTCGAAATAGTAGTGGTGTAAAGGTGGCAAGAACGCCTACTGGGGGCTTGAACATTCTAATAGTATTTATAACCTTTGCAGAGTAAGTGTAACTCACGGGTCAGGTACTCGACTACTGAGTTGCGTCTATTTCCTGGTCAAATATTTCTGTTGTTATCATAACCAGTTTCATGTACTATCACTGTGTTCTGTGTTGTTTTACAGAAAAATTATTATGGTATTAATATTTAACTATTTACTGGTCAATTTACCATATGCTGTACGAATATATAGTTGTCTTGTTATTCATTTGAAATTACCTAATGGTGTGGAATCATATTTTTCGAACTGCATTTTATACCATCAGATAAGCGGGGAAGCTATGGAATGCATGGTTGAAGAGTACAAAAAAATGCGTCAACGAGATGCTTCCAGTGGAACAAAGTCTGCATGGCGCATCACTGTTAGGCAGTTGGAAAGTCTTGTTCGTCTTTCGGAAGCAACAGCACGACTACACTGCGCAGACACCGTAAGATTTTTATTTCCTAAATTTCACGTATTCAATAATTTCCGTGACAATTCCACTCAAAATGACTTACCCAGTTCTTTATTGTTCAAGTTGTGGTGTATTAACCTAATGTCAATATCAATTTTAAATGTCACTCTGTGCACGTTTGTTTATGTAAACCCTTGATTCTAAATTTTAGTCTTTTAAAACCATAAATCAACCGATACCACCAAATAACTGATTTTTATTGTATCGAACCTTACAGTGTATTTTAGGTAACTCTTGCCGATTAACAACTAGTGATGTTACTTATGTTCCGAGTTCATCACTCCTATCAGACATTACTTATTTAGGGCACACAATTGTGTACGGTCCTCACATTCATGCCACATTTTAGCGCGTTCAAATGAATGTTTGTACCAACGTAATCGTCAGTGTGTTGCCTTAAGGAACTGGAAATTGTATAAGCTATGAAAAATTTGATACATAAATATTCAATAGTCATTTTGTAAAAGTGATCGTTGTCATACAAAATACTAATTGAAGTACTCCATAATATATGGAAAGTTCTAACTAATAGTAGCATAATTAGAAATGTTCATTGATAAGAGATTTTATTCAAAGCATCTAGTTCGTGACTACTTGTGTCAATAGTAATTATTCCACGGATATAGTATCTATATTTGAAACAACCGGAACTACTTTTTCAGCCCGCAAATCAGAACACTTGAGGACTGATTGTAAGTACGTTGTGTTTTCTTGAGTCATGCTATGTGATCACTTATTTAAAATAACATGCTACTTTGTGTTTTAACTAACAATACGTACATTACTAGGCGTTTTGGCGCAAAGCTAAACAAGACAATTATAGTTAACTAATTTACCCACAGTAGGTTAGGGAAACTGTCACTAGATCAAGCAATAGCGCAAAATCAAGTCTATAAGAAACAGCCCAAACAGATCGTTTTATAACTCCAGGTTTCATGATCTTTCCTCGCGTAATCCTAACACCAATGTATTGTCGCTACTAACATTTCTCTCTTATACAAGTAAACCGTACTCTATTAAGAGTCTTTTGTTCTTCATAACAGGTAACACAAGTTCATGTACGAGAAGCTTTTGCCCTCTTAAACAAATCCATAATAAGAGTTGAACAGCCTGATATAAATCTAGAAGAGGAAGACCAGCATCAACTGACAGATGCTTCGGAAACACCAGCTATTGATCAGGTATGTATTTTTGAAAAAAATTGTGTTCTTTAAATCTTATCAAATTCCTCACTTATTTTCCCACTTTTTAATTATTTTAACTAGCCAACTGCCGAGACAAATACAACCGCTGGACATTTACGAGTAACATATGACGAGTACAGACGGATTGCTAGTCTTCTAATTTTGAGGGCCCGAAACTGGTGCGAGACCTTGGCAACAGATAGTGAGTCTGATCAAACTCCTGGTGCCCCAAAAAGGAGTGAACTAGTCAACTGGTATCTAGAAGAAGTTGTTGATGAATTTGAAACCGAAGCACAGTTAGCGGAAGTTAAGCTTCTTGTCGAGCGCATAATCGATCGCCTAATAAAAAAGGTAAGCTTATCACCACATCACTTTTCGTTACATTTGGCATTTGTTTACTTTCCAAATCCTAGATTGGGAGTATTCATGGTGGTCCTTTTAAAACGAACTATGTCGGTTATTGAGAGCTACAAAGATAAAGATTTTCAGAATTATAGGCTTCATTATTTCAAAAGTTCGGAACTAATTATCTCACTCCCATGATACTAACACACCCAAACCGTATAATACAAATGCACTGCTCTAGGTGGTCGCTTTTATTTTACTTGATATTTCAGTGCTTTTGTAGTACCAGTACTTCTGAATAGAGTTGGTGAGTCCCAATCTCCCACAAATGATGTCGCTTATTTTACCGTTTGTTTGATATGGTAATGTGCAACATTAACCAACGATTATTCGCTGAAGTAATGAGTCAGTTACCGCGATGGGTAGTTAAGTGTATCAGGAGTCCTACGACACAGCGGAAGCACAAGAATTTTAAAAATACAAAAACACATCTTCGTTGTTATTTTGGAAGCTCCTGTTGAGTTCATGGATTAAGAGAGTGGTAAGCAGAACATATGTAGATGGTTTGGGAATCCTTGCTTATCTTACCGCTTTCGAGTACAATCAGGTTTGTTTTGTTATCTGTACCAAAAGTAAAATAAATAAGAGACCTACATACTGCTATCTATGCGAAACTGTGCAAGAACAACTTACCGCTCAAAATGTAGAATATGTCGCGACTATCTGTGTCTGACTTCTAAGTACCCTAATGAAACCAAGCAGGTTCAGTCAATCGGTCAGCTGCAACGTAGGACCAGGCACATATATGCATCGGTTCAAGCACTGATGCCACGTTTTGGTTTGGCCGCCCCTAACTTTCTTCCAATTATCCCTAACACCAGTGAGCATTGCGTGTCGTGGTAATCGGTGTTCAGGCATACGCAACACGTGGCCCAACCATCTCAGTCGATGAAGATTCATAACCTCATCAACTGATTTACCATCATCTCCTAATACCCTACGTCTAACCTCACTATTACTTACACGATGAACCCAGCAGATACCAGCAATATTTCTAAGGCGTCTGTGGCCAAATACTTATAGCCTACGAGTATCTTCAACTCTCATTGGCCACGTTTCGCAGCCATAAAGTAAAACAGAACGAACTGCTGAGCAGTATTCTCGTCCCCTAATTGGTAGACGGATATCTCACCTTCGCCATAGATGACGTAAGTTGGCAAAGGCCAAACGAGCTTTTTGAATCTGTGTAAAGATTTCGTCAGACACCAACCCATTAAGGCTGGTCAGACTTCAAACATAAGTGGAGTTGTCAACGCGTTCGACTACTTCACTCCCTATCCTTAGTTCAGGTGTTGACGCAGGCCAGTCCTGAAGCAACAACTTGCATTTAGAGGGAGAGAACGCATCCCAAACATTCTGGCATTGTTGCTCAGTGCTACCAAAAGACTCTGCATTTCATCAGCGTCTTCAAACAAGACTATGCCATCTGCGTATTCTAAGTCGATAAGTGGACCTCCTGGTAGGAGATCAGTGCCCGAAAATTCAGTCGATGAGAGCGTTATTTCCAGTAGTAGGTCTATGATGAAGTTAAACAACAATGGAGAAAGTGAACAGTCTTGACGGACCCAACTTGAGGTTGCGAAAGCGGATGACAGTTCGCCATAAGCTCTGACCCGACTAGTAGTGTTCGAGCAAAGAGCCTTCATAAAGTTTATGTACTTCTGAGGTACCCCTTTCAATGACAGACACTGCCACAGAACCTCTCGGTCCACAGAGTCAAAGGCTGCTTCTAAGTCAAGGAAGACCATTATTGTCGGACGCCGATAGGTATGTCTGTGTTCTAGAACCCGACGAACGGTGAATATGTGGCCTATGCATCCACAACCAGGTCTGAAGCCAGCTTGATTCTCTCGTGTTTGCAGTTCGCGAGTCTTAGTTAGGCGTCCTATAATTATCGAGGCTAGTATTTTAGATACTATATTAGTTAAACTAATCCCTCTATGGTTGTCACAGGATGATTTTGACCCTTTCTTAAATATTGGGACGATAAGTGATTGTGACCAGTCAGAGGGGATTATGTCCAACTCCCAGATTTTAACTAAAATATTAGTCAACCTAGTCGCTAAAATTGGACCACCATCCTTAAAGACCTCTGGAACCAATCCATCTGGACCAGCTTCCCTTCCTCTTTTTAGATTAACAATAGCCTTTTGAACTTCAGTTAGAGTTGGTGGACCTACTTCAATGTTCCATTCACACACCCTGATAAAACCAAGCACGTTGAATGAAGAGGAATAAATTTTATTGATTTTAGTCAAACTTTTTGTCCTACTTTCATAAATTCGACCAGATATTGGCTTAATCGAAACCTTGCTACTTACAAAACACACAAATCATTCGAACTGTAAGATGTAATGTTTAATATCTGTTAGACCTGAAACACGCATCAAAATATTTATTTACTTATGAATAAAAAATTATGTAGCCTAGTCATGTAACATTCACTTCTGCATCTCGTTCATAGCTCGACTAACTATAAAATAAAACTGAAACATTCACTTCAATATACGTTGTTGACCAAGGCAACTACAGTATTCGTTTTGTAGTAAGAGTTAGTTAACAAAAACAATACAGAAAGTTGAATATTTCCTGAATTTCATGGAGTTGGGACTTTATGATAGTAATAACAGTTGGTTAATTACAATTAAAAGGTTATATACTCACCGCAACATATGCACTTCTGGTCACGTCTCTTTATGTAAGCAACAGGATTACGGAACTTAAGCGAAAGTGACTAACGTACCGCGTTATTAGTTAAATTTACAATAATTTGTGATGTTTGTATGTAGAGTTATGGATGTGGTTTATCCCACTAATGTTTTAGTGAGTTATGAGAAATTAGATTAATTAGTAGGTGTCTTTAAAAATATTTGAATCAACTTGCTTTGTGCATACATTTAGTGTTAATGAAACAATGAAAACTTTCCTATTCCTTACAGGATAATATTCTCATAACTATTGGTGGTACAGGATTGGATGCATCTGCTGATACCGCTGATCCTTACATTGTCGTGCATCCTAACTACGTGGAGTAATTAGAACTTTTTCAGAAAGATGTATTTATAATCAAGATGTGCTTTTTATGTAATGAAATTTTTATTAATTAGCAAATATTTTCTTTCCGTTGTTTACGTTTTGTGAATCGTAGTATGGTTTCGGGAAACGTAAATATACAGGAGTAAGCATATTTATTTTGCGAATTGAGCACGTAGTTTGTTCATATAAGAAAGGCCTGTACAAATTGTATCAATCACCAACGCTTTTGTGTGCTAATATAAAAAACTGAAACAGCTTAGAAATGCTGATGTGACTTACCGTTGTTTCCTCGGATGAACGTATCACCATATTTGTTTTTTAACTGACCGTCAACGTACTCTTCAGTCTGTTCCAACACCACATTCATATAACCGTCTAGAGAAATTAGAACACCTACACATTATTTAAGCTGCATGGATATAAAATTACCTCTGTAATCAGCACCTGAGTTAAGCTTAACTACCACTGGTCTCCCGACTATGAGTTTCAAGAAGTCTCTTGGTGTCTGTTTGTGTGCCATCCCTTCGTTTGTCTAGAAAAGAATCCATCGTTAGTCATCTAAATCTGACAGATTGATATATAAAACCAGTATTTAAACCGCTGATGAAACTGTCCAGATTGTACACTTGTCCTGTCAATGTGGGTGTTGAATTTTTAACCAGTCTGGGACAAGTTGGATACTGATCTCTCATCAAACTTACTATTACATGTAATGGATCATTTAGTTTCTTCTACTCTTTGCTAATTTCTAAATCAGAGTAAATTTGATTTCCAATGGCAAATGTTTCCATGCTATCGTTTAATCAGGTGTTGAAGCAGCTAGTTTTGCTAATTTCTTTCACAATCTTATCGTTGGATTTGGAGTTTGGTTGTAGCACTTCTTGATGAAATACTACCGCTTAAAACTTCTGATCAAGTCATGAAATAGTGTGCACAGTATAAATAAACAAAAACAAGAGGACAACAAACCGACTTCTCAATTAGGGAACCAGGAATGAGATAAAAGTTTGTGTGTTCGGCTTTAAACTATACTCTTACTTAGTGTGATGCTGCTCTAGTCGGATTACGTATAATGGTATTTGGATCCTCTAACTTGTGGTTCGAAATTAACCACTTTTGAAAGGAAATGGGCGGTATCATATTCAGCCAATTGAGACTTTTGTCCATCATGACTTCCATAGTTACACTGTATAGACGCTTCCGGAAGAGATAACTGCGTACACGTGAATTTAAACTAAATCGGATCTAAGTTACTAAAATCAAATAACACAAGTGTGAAATTTGGGACTCAGTAGGCGTGTATAGATCTCTAAACTAGACTGAGCTACAACTGTTGCATGAAATGAGTAATGACACTTCATGAACAGATAAACATCGGTGGTCTACTGGTGGGTTGGTGTTTGCACACTAAACCACTAATCTCCTGCGTACTTAAATGTCACTTTTTGTCAAATGCCTGTCAGTTTGAAATCGTCGATGAACAGTATCTAGCCGTATGGAAGTTTTGAGCAGTTACGCAGCAGTCCCACGTCCAATCACTATAATGTGATTGCCAGGTGTTTTTATTTTGGAAAGCTATATTGGGCTTACAGATTTTACAGACATGACCTGAAGATGAGAATGTGATTTCTAAGTGCATCATAGTCAGCATTCAAAAGATCTCTAGCGTATAACCGATGAGGTACCAATATATGACTACCAGGTTCGGGATGTGCAGACTTATGAAAACACCACAAGTCTGCTGTTTGATTTTCTGCAAATGACACAGCTTTAGCTCGTGACTTCGTTATTGAAAGCAAAATACATACACTAAGGACCTATTACTTTATCAACATTGAGTGGATTTCGTTATATAACCGACATCATAAGTGCTAGTGGGATAATGAAATTAAGTCCCAGGTTTCGTCTAAAGAATTTGGGTGCCACGAATCTCAGTAAACCAATCAGAAGGGATGCCACTTTAAGGGGGGTGATTTGATGCACTCAATGTAACAATGAACTTAGGACTTATTAAATACGGTCGGGAGAGGGCGACATGTACTTGATACATTAGGTGGGTGTATTTAGGGAGTAGAAACGTAGGTGAGTAAGAGCTGGATTTAGGATGATAAACTGAGTTGGGGTTTATTTTGCAGTTTGATTGTCATTACATATAGGTATGCCTTATAAAGAGATGAATAGCGGTAGTAGGATAGTTATTGACAGAATTAACCATTTAGACAATATTTACTTGGCAGGTCTAGGTTGTTTTTAAAGACATAATGACCTCCCAGTAAATCAACCTATCTCAATTTCATGTATTATTTTGAGGAAAACATGTGTAGTTACTCAGTTAATTAAATAGATTGCCAAGCACAAATATTTCCGAGAATGACGCGTCGATCAGGTAGAAACTTCGCAGTAATCACGCGGACCTGTTAGTAATTAAGGAAAAGAAATATCTTTTCCTGCCAAGTTTAGAAAGTCTCATGCACTTCAAGAATTATAAACTATAGCTTCTTGGTACATCTAACTCAGCTGAATATTCCAAAAGAAGCTGAAATGATATATATGTGTATATTGTGGGAGTTGGTAATGTTTAGCTTACAGTACAACGCAAACACAGTAAAAACTAACGATAGTGACTGCCACATATTAAGCAACTCCCAACTCAATGAATTACCTGCACGACTGACCCAGAGAATGAATTTCCCACCTTAGTGGCGGGTCTTAAATAGTATTCAAATGGTTGTGGACGGAATAGAAGAAGCTTTCGCTTAACAGGCTTCCGTGTCTAGTAGCAGGGAATCACCAACACCTCCAGTCAGGAACCTAGGTATATTAACGATAAAAGAGAAAAAAAGAAATTGGCAAATCATAGTAAGATACTATCCTTAGTCCTTAAGAATAGATCAAGTCTGTAGTGACCTACTTTTGTCAACAGAACGCGATTGGTTCGATGAAAACAATTATTATTATAACCAATTGTACCAGTGACTGTTTTACTGTGCTCGTTTGTTTAACTGTGCTAATAACAGCCATTTTAGTCTTCCATTGTATTCCATTGCTTCTACGCGGTTTTCGACTACGCACGTATCTTTTCTTGCCGATCGCACCTGTACTCCTTTGGCACGATCTCGGTATTCTTTCGATACCACGAGATCGCCAACAAATACATCTCGACTACAGCCATCATCTGTCTTCTGATGTTGACCTACGGGGATCTTATTGGTTAATTGGCACGTAGTCTTGTAGCGGTGTTCATAGTCAAGCTCAACTCGACACCACGCTACAAGTCGCGTCTTAAAGGACTCCTGGGAAGTCGCTTGGACTACACCCTCGGCAGCGAATTCCAGCATATGACAACTCTTAAGGAGTAGAAGTTGTGTCTGCAGTCCGTTCTGCTATGTTGTATCTCCGATTTCTGGGTGTTACCCAATAGGTTAGTGTTGGGACTAAGCTTAAGTAGGTGTTTAAGAGGATGTCCAGAAGTGCTGAGGATACTGTAAGTCATTAGAAGGTCACCTCTAAGACGCCTATACTCTAATGGGTAAAAATCAAGCGATTGGAGGTGCTCTTCATAAGGTTTAAATTTGAGTCCCCGAACTGATTTCGTGGCTCGCCGTTGAAAACGCTCCTGTGTTCTTATCCTTTTGGAGTGTAGGAAGGAATACTATGTTTCCGTACTCTAAATGAGGACGAATGAAACTATTGAAGATTATGTGGAAAGTTCTCCCATCAAACTGACCAAAAATGCGCTTCAATGTACACAGTGGTTCAAAATATCTGAATAAATGATTTCAAATGGTTATGGGTGAAATGGAAGAAGCTTTCAATTAACAGGCTTCCTTATCTGGTAGTAATGAATCACTGATGCCTCCAGGTAAAAACCTATGTAAATTTAAAGATAAAAGAGAAATGAAAAAACTAGTAAATCATTGTGGAGTACTGTACTTAGTCCTTAAGAATATATCAAGTCGCCTCTTAAAGAACTCCTGGGAAGTGGCTTGGACTAGCTCAGTTGGCAGAGAATACCAATATTTGACTACTCTTAAGGAGTGGAAGGTGTGCCTTCAATCTGTTCTGCTATATTCTTTCTCCAGTTGCTGAGCGCTACTCCTAAGGTTTGCGTTGGGACTAAGCTGAAGTATGTGTTTAAGGGGACGTCCATAAATGTTCAGGATGCTACAAGTCATTAGAAGGTCATCACTAAGATGCCTGTATTCTGATGGGTAAAGGTTCAATGATTGAAAGCGCTGTTCATAAGACTTGAATTTGGATCCTAGAACTGATTTCGTGGCTCGTCGTCAAATGCATTCCAGTGTATCCTCATCCTTTTGGAGTGAGGGAAAAAACTATGATTCCACACATTAAATGGGGTTGAACAAGACTGATGGAGATCAGGTGGATCGTTCTTCCATCAGAATGGCCATAAATGCTCTTCAACGTGGTTATTCCAAGATCTTCTCGGAAGATATTTTCGTCGCAGTTGGCGTAAGACTTCAAATCATGAGAAAGCAACACTCCCAGAACTTCTTCAACTTGAGAAACCCCAAAAGGGGAGTTATCTAAGTTGTATTCGTAGTCTGCAACATGTTTTGGATGGACTACTTCACACTTTGAAGTGTTACAGAAAGGTTTGTTGTTGTCTGCTCAACTTTGAAGTCGAGTCAGATTCTCCTGAAGTGCTAAATCATCTTCATGACTAAAACCTTCCCTCCAGAGTCTCACATTGCCAGCGAAAGTTATTAAATCAGACGATACCTGCTGGATAATGTCCTAGTACTGAACCCTGGTTGACCCACCAGCCTCTCTTGTGGCCTGACAATAATTGGAGTTAACTCTAAACTTAAAGGTCGGTTATTTGGATCTGAAGTAAGAAATCCAGTTAATGGTGGCTTGATACCTGAACGTTTGAGCTTAGTGATAAGACATATCCGATTGACCCTGTCAAATGCTTTTGGAAAGCAAGGGTATACGACGTCAACCTTCTTTTTACAATCACGGATGCCTGTCCATATGTCGACCGTGGTCAGCAGCTTGGCTATACAAGAACGACCTGTTCTGAAACGGTGGTGTTTGCATGAAAGGAATTCCATGGATAATAAGCAGTCACGCGGACCGTCACACATTAGGGACTCCACAAGTCTCAAGAGTATTGAGAAAAGTGCTACCGGCTGGTAGCTTGAAGTTTCACTGCATCCACCTCCTTTGAAAAGTGGTGTAACGTGTGCCAGATTTCAATTATTGGGTGCCGTTCCTAGGCTTAGCAAACGCGAGAACATAACGCTAGGCGGTGCTGGCAAGACTGAGGCTTCTCCTCACAGTATATCGGAATAGACCATGTTGGGTTCAGGCGAAATGTTCTTGTTTAGGCGATTCAGCTTCTGATACACCAGTTCAGTACTCAGTTTCAGCTCCAAGAGTTCTGCTCAGTTGCAGGTGGATATAGTTAGTGTGAGCTGGTCGAAAGTTTCAAAAGTGCTGTTCCGCCAGAAGGTCGATGGCGTCACCGTTATTGTTAGTTGGGCCATTAGGATCTGGCAATTAGAGAACTTCAGTCTCGGCTTTTCAAAGAGACGCTGCATTACTAAATAAGCTTTTCGAATTGGAGACAAATTTGTCGATTAGCTTTGTTTGACACTGAGGCCCGTCTTCTCCTTTTTCATCATCGCATTGGTTCAGTGATTTTTTGGATTGCCTACATGTGTTGTTGTTACCAGTTCGTCTGCATTCCGTCCAGTAAAGCCTTTCGCAGCTTAGCAAAACAACGGTGCAATTCTTGATGACTGTGAGTTTGTGAGCAGTGTTTTGTAGCACATAAGATCGTGTGCAGTGACAAGTTCTAATGCGTGTCCTCATCAAGTTGAGTGTAGGTTTCTCAATCAACTTACTGTAGATCGTTCTGTAAATCTAACACATCTGATCGTTTGAAATTCCAATGCTTGTTGACAGTACGTTAACTTGGTACAGTTTTGCAAATAAGATTGATGGCTATGGCGGCGTGATCACGTTTATCCAAGGGAGCCAAGATTGAGAGGTTGACAATTGGAAATGCTTCGCTTGTAAAAAGACAGTCTAAGAGCAACGATGTATGATGTTTTATCCAGCAAGTTGTCAGCTTCACGTTTTCGAATAATCCCATCAGATTTGCCGTCTCCAATGTACGTATGTTCGGCGAAGTTGACTTAAGGAAAATTGAAGTCTACTAGAATCAGGATATGAGTGTATCCGAGACAAATGGAGGGAGATAATCCCTCTAGTGTACATTCGTTGTGCTCGGTGTCAGTGGTGAGCTACCTGACGATGACTTCAACTAGAAACCTCGAGGTGTTTGATTCTCTTATTGAACACCACGCAGATCCATCATGATTGATAAACTTTAGGGCGTACACTTGACGTGCTACCTAAGCAAGATCGCAAGTACAGAGCCACTCTAGCTCCCCTACTGTTTTTCTCACAATACGAAAAAACGACATACCAGGCATCGCTAGTGCCTGGTCTGTAATTAAAGAATAAATCCATGTTTTATGCATTTCAATGAGACGAATATTATTATCATTACATAGTTCATCAACTTACCCATTTTATTCGGAAAACTCGCGGGATTCATATATAAGCAGTTTATATTTCCATTTTGATACGCGTGTGCTTCCTCGTTTTGTATATCTGAATGAGCCTCGGGTGAATCGACAGGTAATGTACGTAAACCAGGTTTTTAAATTGATAGCCTCTGTTCTTTCTTCATGTTTTCCATGATCTTGACAGTCTACAAATATAATAGTCAGGTCCGACTGCATGATTCTTGCAACGTGAAACCTATCGGGATGCATGCCCAGTCGGTAACCGATGTTTGCCGATACAACATTCTTCGAAAGATTAATTTCATAAGCCGGGGTCTAGAATCGCCGTCTTCCTTGAGTAATATCACTGATTGTTTGGTTAATATGCCGTTCAAAGATTTATCTTTGATTTCTCACTCTAGGATATCATAGTCTTCATAGTAAGGGTTTGCCTTTTCTGGGACACCTTGCACAATGCTAGTTCTTCTATGGAAAAACGCTTGAGATTCCTTGAGGATATTTGTGAAGAAATTTCACCCATAATATGGTGTATCAAGCGGTTTTTTTACACCCTCTTCTGATTTCAGCAAGTGAGTAACCAGTAAAACATCCCCTACATAACTTATTGTTGGTGTAAGTTACTCCGAAGAGTCTTGGATGAATTTCGTGCTTGGAATCCTTGCCTCAAGTGAACTGTTTAACCCTAAGTGTCCCGATTTGAGGAAGTTTGATCTTACCGTTCAACTCATACCAGAGCATCCTATCACTTTTGTTCTACAAACCGGTAGGAAGGTCAGAGTTGTCCCAAAGTTCTGTGAAGTTATGATCTAGTACGGTAATGATACTACTTTGATAATATATCTAATCCCATAACTGCAGATGTCATCACGTGACTACCTTATCTATAAGAAGAACACATTTGGGCTGTGAATAGAATAGTATATTTTACATGAGTAGCGACAAGTTTCACATGTCGATCACATTTGCAAGGCTGAGCAATGCTATGTAACTAAATGAATGTCTCCTCGTTCACCATTTCTGACCTTCACCAAGCGTTGCATGTTGAATGTAAATTTTTTCACTAATTATATGCTCGGCTTCAAAGATCGTGTGGTTAGTATCCAATTACACTACAGGTTCGTAATTACGAGAGGAGTTCAGAATCAATAAGAAACTAATATTAATGTAGGTGATGTCGATCCTCCTAAGAATGTTGATTTAAATCCAACAAGATGTAGACGTTCCGATAACGAGTCAAATATTTTAGTACACATTCCTGTCAGTGCAACACACAGTTACAGAAACTGTGCATCGGCCAACGAGAAAATAATCATAACATTTATATAACTGGGCACGCACTGAACGTCGATAGATTTGGGTCGTGCAAATCATTACATGTATGTTTAACAACACTTGATTATCCCCAAATTACGAAGAAGCTAAAAACAAACCGCAAACCTTGGAAATAAACGTTTTGAACATGCTACACATGCACCAGGTATAATATGTAATTCGAATTACAAACGGCTAGTTGGTTGGACACATAGCCCTAGCAGCCTTCTTGGTCCGGCTCCCAAGGTGCAAACTACGCCTCTATCAGTAACAACCAGGTGACATTTTTGTACTTCCGCTGGCTCTTCTGCCGGCAACGATAAATATATTACAAATGATTACAAACATGAATCTGAGTATATGTTCATGCGTTTACAATTCAGAGGGGATGTGGCGAGTGAAATGTTAACTCAGAGACTACGTAGGACAATACAAAAATCTTTTAACGCCGGAGATCTGCGATTAGTGTTTTCTACGCGCCCAATGGTTACACCGAGACTAAAATATGAATTACCTAGAATGACCACCTCATTTTGCATTTATCAGTTCGACTGCTCCTGTGGAGCGAGTTATATTGGTCGAAGTTCTAGGAATTTACATTTTCGTGCTCGTGAACACCTTCCAGCGTGGCTTAACAAAGGTTTGATGAAGAAAGTGAACAGCCCAATATTAGCCCATTTAGTACAAACTGGTCATAGTGCCAGTATAAACCAGTCTTTTTCAATTATTTATAAGGTCAGTAATTTTTTTGCCCAAACTGGTCAGACTGAAAGTCCTTCAAACAGCTGAAGCAATAGCCATCCGGATGAAGAAACCGGAGCTATGCGTACAGAAGAAATATATTCAACCACTCCTCGTCCCCTGGCCAACATCAAGGCCAATTAATCAATCGTAATCTTAACTATTGAATGACGTAATTTGACTATGACCTTTCGTAGTCAATTGTAATTTTCTCTGTTATCATTATTCATAAATCATTGTATTATTATTATTATTCGTATTCATTATTAATCTCCCCTATACATGATTCTTCCCTCCTTATTACGTCTTACCTATTTGATCGAATGGTAATTGCACTATTATTTTTCTCACCCTACTTGACCCATATTTATTCTGATCATAGATCTTAAAATCTCACTGAACATATACTCAGATTCAAGTTAACATTCTTTATGAGTCATAACAACATGCACAATTTTATTGTATTTTATTTATCACAATCCTAAATTCACATGCTTTAAATGATGTACTTTGCCCTTAAACTGGCCATTTTTCGGGTTATTAATTTGGATATATAATTGTAGAACCTGAAGAGAATTTATCGAAAAGAATATTCTTCGTTCAAATACTAGTCTTTTAATATGACGGGGATATTTAAACGATTACAAACTTGTTGAATCTACTTTCCCTCATAACACGTGTCCTACGTTAGATAATCCCACGAGTATTCATGGAGCTACACCCATGATCTATTCTCTAACCTACTTCACCATGTCACTTCTCAGTTTCTTATTCTTTCATTGAATGCTCGCTCTCCGTCCAATAAAATTACTCATTTCAAAACCCTTTTATTCCTTGTAAATCCAACTATTGTACTTATTATGGAAGCGTGGTGTGAATCGTCTATGTCCAATCACTCCTTACACGTAGACAACTACGTTTTCAGTGAGACTAATCTATGAACAAACCAATCAAATATAAGATCAAAGGTCTCAGATTTTGGCGTGAGTTTCACTCAGCCATTTAGCTAAATAGTTTTTACATTATAGCTTATGTCAATTCGTGATGACCACCCTAAATCTAATTCCTAACCCTAATCATAATGCTAATTCCCCACAATGGTTTATAACCCTCATTTGGTCGTGGTTACTAGGTGTAAGATCTCTAGGTCACCTTATCATTGATGAAAGGTCGTCCACAAATTATAGTCTCACCACCTTTTCTTTCGAACTGACAGACATCATGGAATAAGAAGTGGTATAGTTATCTATATTAATTTGTACATCCATGTGTGTAAATTTGAGGATGAATTTCTTGATACCATAGATGACTCCACTCGGGCTGCCGTAAATTGTGGATCGCAAAATTATCTGATGGTGGGATGCATATACAAATAACGCAATGGGATACTAACCTCGATAAATCACTAATAATTTTTTTAATTGCTTCGCACCAACCGCATGAGTTTATAACCATGTGAGGTGATTTTAATCTGCAGAAAATATGAAGTTCAACTACAGGTCAATAGTTGAAGAATTAAAACTTTACGGATGGGTTCAACAAGTCTGAAAGCCAACTAAATGAGATAATATACTTGATTTATTATTCACAATCAACATAGACCCTATCTAAGTACACGTCAGCCATGAATTTTCTATGAATGATCACAGAGTCATAGTGAGTATTACTCATTTTTTAAACACGACAATCGAACTGCGGAGCTGCAACAATGTAACGGAGTAGCTAGTTTGATTACCAAGCCAGAAGGTGCACGGAAACTCTTCTTTAATGTTTACCATGCATATCTTACTTCTCAACAGACAATATTGACACTGCGCCCTCCAACTTGTACTGGAATCTGACACATGGCCTTGACTTCACTGATCCAAGTATCGGCCATGTGACTTATAATGCAAATAGGGGTCAGAATACTTTTCAAACATTAAAGAGAAGGCTCATAAAATCAAAAAGCCACTACCACGAGCATCATGACGTGTATGCGCTTCAAATTATACTTGACTAGATCGACAGAAACGATTTATTTAAACACAAGTAACTTGTGACTGTAGAGAATAAAGACCAAGATAATAAAAGCCCAGAGTTATCGGCCTTTCAAACACCGTAAGAAATCGATTTCTTTTGCCATAACCGAATTCGCCATAGTTAACCAAAGAATTGTTGACGACCCTGTTACTAACCGTTAGTGATTCAGCCAGCATTTCTCGAAATGCTATAGCACTGGAACCGAAACCTCTATCAATACGTTTTCAATGTTGACATAAAGACATCTATCTAAAATTGATTTCGCACGCATCAACATCAAGCAGGCTACAGCCGTTCTGAAGAAGTCCTATGACTGTGAACCTGACGTAATTCTTTCATCATTTATGAAATATATTGGTAGGGAACTACCATTATTTTGTTCAAAACTGTTCAACCTATCTATCAGCTATGGGGCCTATCGATCTGTACGGAAAACATCTCTTATCACCCCCAAATTCAAAACGGGATCAAGTAGCGATATTGCTAACTATAGGCTCATTAACTTGACATCAGTGCAATCAAGAACTATGGAAAAACATCCACAAACAGATATTATCAATTCTACTTTTGGCTAGTCTGGTTAGCCTGTCTCAACACGGGTTTATGACTATGCACTCATGCTTCACATCGCACCTGGAAATTTTTAACCAAATTACCCAGTTATAATTCTGTACCTCGCCTTCAGTAAGGCCTTCGACAGTGTCTCACACAAACTCCTTGTTCTGAAACTTTCTCTGTTTGACGTGTGGAATCCCCTTTTATCGTGGCTCAAACGTTTTTAGCAGAATATAGCCAAATCCTCCGCCTTGGATCTTGATACTCTCAGCCTGTGAATGTAACCGGTGGGTTTATGCAAAGAAGTGTGATTGGCTCATTACTATTTCCCCTATTCATCAACGATGTGTGTTCACTCTTTTAAAAAGATAAA